TCCAGTGCTCTCAAACTCTGCTCATCTGCAAATCTGTGCCCAATTTAATCAGCATTCCCAATCAGGAGAATGTTTACACAAAAAGCTATACTTGCTTTATATCAAGTTTTAGTTTGTAAACTTTGGGGAATATACTTTCTTTTCTACAGCTTAGCAAGTCAGTGGATAAACACAGAAAATCTGAGCCTTTCTTATTGAGAAGTTAAAAATTTTTTGTAGAGAGCCTGTCACATCTCCATCTCCACACACACAAGAACACCTCCCAGAATTACCAGGCACTGATCTAACCCTCCACATCAGACAGAAAGCTCACCTGCTCCAGGGAGCTTTTACTCTGTGGCCATACAAGTTCTTCTGCAACCTGGAAAAGTGAAATGCTCCCCAGGGCCAGGAAAATACCACAGCCACTGAACTCTGGGGATTACACAGAGAGGGCTCTGCTGAATAAAGCCAGGGGAATGTAAGCTCGTGGTCTGCCTCACTGATTTGTAGGTTAGAGAGCCAGGTGCTTCAGTAACGATGCCTTGAAACTCCAACCTGCATGGCAGAAAAACATCTCCTTTTAAAAGACTTCTGCCTTACAGTTTGTTCTCTTCCACACATTCTCACATGGCCTCTTCTGCTCCAGTAGAATTACTGTACATGTTCTACACTCATACAATTAGTAACTGCACCTGCTAACAGGGGCTATAATTTTCAAGCCAGCTGTATCCACAGAGGGTGTGTGCACACAGACAATTGTGTCCTCAGTTGTCTTTGGTGTATCTTTCCTGCTCTCCTCCGTGTTAATTCTGGGCAGGGACTAGTCACTAAATGAGCTGGTGTAACACTCAACTAAAGCTGCACCATGTGGCAGGCAGTTTTAAATTTTCAGTAAAGAATGGTCAGAAAACTATTTTATTATTTTTTAAGTAATCAACATGGAAACAATAGCCATGATTAAGTCACAACAGGCATAACCCAGTTGTAACCACAGAATTAACACTTTACATGAACACAACAGAACTGACAAGTGTGTTAACATCCTTCAGTCACTGAGCACACGTGTACAGTAAGGTCAGCATTAATCTGTTAGGAATGCTACACAATCAGCTGGCCAGTGTCCTTCCAAAGCAGAGTGCTTGCTGTCAGACAGGCCGGGGGGACTCCGGAGCTGCACTCCGAGGTTGCCCCTTGGCCCTGCTTCTCCTCCCCTCCCGCAGTTCTGGTTTCCCTCTGTTCGTTGGGGTACTAAAGCACGACCCGCTGGAAGGAGGAGGAGCCGCGGTGCCTCACCCGCTGCGTTACCTGAGCGCGGCAGACGAGAGCAAAGCTGGCTCTGCTGACAGTGTGTGACCCTCATCAGTAGCTGCTATTCAGACTCTTTTCCCTCCCCTAATTCCTTGCTCCATGGACAGGACATGCTTTTGGAGCTGTACCGCTTTCAAGACGCTTTCTTTTACATATCACTCTTTAATAGGAATCCTGTAACAAAATAGAAATCTTGCTTTTGTAGAAAGGAGTTCTCTAAATCCACCCCTCCCATCTCCTAGTCCTTACACACCGTACCTTCCTCTTTTTCAAAACACTTACTAATGCACGTACTTGGCCACTGCTTCTTAATGGAAGTACCAAAGTGACACTCAAAAGGGTAACTTGCACTTGGTATTGTGCTCCTGGCTCCTCTTGATCTGAGCAACATAGGATAAACTTCTCAGCTAGAACATTTTCATAATCACAGGGAGGGGTCCACCCTCAAAAATAAAAATCCTCAGTCTTTTTAGAACCAGACCAGAGGAGATGAGTGAACAAAGCAGCAATCTCCATCGTTCTTCCCATCAGGATTCTTCCTGGGATGCCGGCTGCTGTGTCATGTTCACTGTAGAGACAAGAGAAGACATCAGCTTGTCTACTGTCAATTCTACAAGTTTTGATGGAGAAGTCAAAAAACATCCTACAGCTTGCTCAAGTGGGCTTTTGCTCCCAAACACACTTACTAAAGCCTCCCCTGCTCCTTCTCATCTAGCTCATGGTGTTCTGGTGAAAAAAAACACAACAAAAACAACATGACACCAGACCAAACCAAACCACAACAAAAAACCCCACCAGCCCAGAAAAGTATATGTGTGATTATTTCTGTAGAGGTTCCAGGAATGTTTTTGGACACTGCTGTTCTAAGTTGCTAAGTATTTACCACTAACTACTTTTAATTATCTTTTTATTAGTTACAGCAAGGCAAATCTATTGCCAGTACTGTGGGTTTGCACTGTCAGGCCAGGTCTGGGCATTATCAGGAACGACGCAGGGTGCCCCAAACAAGCCACAACAAGGCACGGACTACTTGCGCTCCTCTTGTGGCCACCAAGCTTAAACAGTTCAAAACCAGTTAAAAATTCATGCAAAGCTAAGGCCATAGTTTCACAACATGCCCTCTTCTGCAGCAATAGCTTTACGATGCTCCCTGGCAACCCCTTGGGTTTGTGGGACAGTGCTCTGAGCTGGGACAGGAAACATGGAGTGAGGACTCAGGGACTAAGCCAGTACTACTCTAGTCATGTTCTGCAGTGACCCCACAGCCTAATGCACCTTCCACCCTGCCTTATTCCCATGAGGAACACACCGGTGTAGTCGTCCTGCCCATGGGTGCCTCCTCTGTCCGGTGCTTCCCGGAGTGCGGCAGCTCTGAGCTGTCCCGATAATCTCGGCCCTTGGAGTTCTGCATGTCCAGCACCGCCCGACTCTTCGAGGGAAGGGGCGGCTTGTTCTGCTGTCCCTGGGTGCTCAGGCTGACTTCAGCCCTCAATGGCTTCACTAGTTTCTTGAGCTGCGCCGAGTTTTCCAGTGGTGTTGTCACCTTCAGTTTGCCTTGGCTCTTCTCACCTGTATTCTTTTCTTCCGCCTGGCCGGAGCAGGTGTAGGACCGGAATCGCTGTGTGGGGACCAGGAAAGGTGGGGATGGCTGTTTGCCAGGGGTCTTGCTGCCCTCAGGCTCCTGTGGCTTTGTGAGATGACAGCTCTGCTCAGGCAGTGGCAGCTGCTCTTTCCGCAAGGCCTTGGGGTATTCCTGCTCTTTCTTGGGAGGCACCTTGCCCTTGGAGCCCATGGAGCCATACAGAGGGTTCTCAAACATCTCCGGCCTTTGCTGTCCCTCCTCCAGAAGCACAGGCTCTGCTGTGGATTTCCCCAGTTCAGGTGGCCTGCAGTCATCAAAACAGCATGTAAGGGAGACTTGTAAAGAGCAGGCAAGAGACACTGACTGAGTTAGAGACAAAATGAATAGCAAATGAGCCTGATAAAATTAAACTGACTGTGTAAAGGGGTAACAGGAAAACAATTAAACTCAGGGAGAGAGAACAGAATTGTGCATTGTTTTTAATCATTAGGAACATGACAGCAGAGAGCAGATATGCATGGCCCTGTATAAACTCCCTGCTAGACTACAGTCCTGTCAAAGTGATACTTGGCTTCTCTTTAAACAGAGATAAGCCACTGAGCCAGACTGTGCTAAGTGCTTTGATGGCTTTGCGACACACACAAATCTGAATTTGAATATTAATAAGAATCTTCAGATCTGTCGGACAGGATGGCTGTCTGGAGGCTTAACGTAAGAGCTCATATCACCCTGTAACATTTTACAACTAGGTCAATCTCCTCTTGCTACCAACGCAGCATGGTATTCTTAAGGAAGGGATAAATCTCCTTACTGCACCCAAATGCACACTAGAGGAGTAAGAGCTCCATCCTCTAGGGTGAGACAACTCCTGTGTGTTCACAGTGGAGCCCCTTGAGCAGCAGCTCAGCCTGGAATGAGAGCACAGCTGCCAGTGGGACTCGGCAGATCTGGGGGTTTCTGTGATGCCCTGGTGTGGCAAGGCTTTAATCTGGAGAACCACCACAGGGCTTAAAAAATGAGCCACAGTATCACTGAGCAGAGGGGAATAGGGGTGAGTGGCACGTGTTCTTTGGGTGCCTTCAGGTGAGTTGTGTTCCTGGCTTCCAGCTGTGTTCACTAGTCAGTACAGGCAGGAGCAGAGCTGAGAGCATGGATGGAGCACTGCAGGGTTTGAACTGCAGGGTGCCACATCCATTTACAGTGAGCTCCAGCCCAGGCTCTGAGAGCAGCTGTCGCTGTCAAAAGGAGGTCTGGAACAAGGACACAGATTGCACACAGGCACCGGGGTGAAGCTGCCTCATCACTTTACTAAGTTGGGTAGGGATGGGATATTTTCAGTTGCCAGGTGGAACTTCTGCATCAAGGCTTGTGATAGATGCAGCACATGGATTCTGGCTTCTTAGCAAGCTGGATGTTTGTATAGTAGTGCAAGTGGAAATTCAGTGAAAGTACTTCACATATGACACTTGAAGGAGCTCTCCTTCCTATCCAGGGGAAAGATCTATGCCACACTCTCCCCTTTTCTCTTTTATTATTACAGTCAACTCTGTAATCTTCTCCTTTTCTCTTGGCAGAGAATTAAACCTCTGTCAGGCTGAGAGAGCTGGGGTTGTTCAATCTGAAGAAAAGAAGACTCTGGGGAGATCTTATTGTGGCCTTCCAATGCCCAAAGGGGACTCACAGTAAGGAGGGAGAGCAACTGTTTACACAGGCAGATAGTAACAGGACAAGGGGGAGCAGTTTTAAACTAAAAGACGAGAGATTTAGATTAGATTTGGGGAAGAAGCTCTTTACTCAGAGGGTGATGAGGCCTTGGCACAGGTTGCCCAGAGCAGCTGTGGCTGCCCCATCCCTGGAAGTGTTCAAGGCCAGGCTGGACAGGGCTTGGAGCAACCTGGACTAGTGGCAGGTGTCCCTGGCCGTGGCAAGAGGGTGGGACAAGACAGCCTCTCAGGTCCCTTTCAACCCAAACCATTCTATGATTCTAAGATTCTATTGTTTAGTTGTAAGTTTAACTTATATATTTTTGGCTTTCCTTTCATAAAGGTCTGAGGAACTACTACACTTGTTTTCTTTGAGTATGAGATGTCTGCACTTGTGACCTTTACTTATCTTTTTCTAATTCTAGAGATAAAATATGGAAAGAATATGCTGAAGGTTGAACTCTTCATACAGATAATGAAACAGTGACAGTGTAGAACAGGAGAGAGGGGCCCAGCCCCAGTGCAAAACTCAAAGACTCACAGGTACTCTTGACTCCGACCACAAATGCTTCTGTTTGCTGTGGGCTGGAGGGATGGCTTTGGGGAGAGAGGTGACAAGGAGGGCGATGTGGAGGATGAGGGACTCTGTCCCATCAGGGAGGTGGTCTCTTTGGGCTGCTGCTCATAGTTCCAGAGAGAAGGTGGCTGGTCTGCTGAAGGTGTCTGCTTAAGCTGGCAGGTTGCAGAGGGCTGCTGAGAGAAGGGAGCCATCCCCAGGTAGTTGGGGTTGCTGATGTCTGTGGGGGTGGAGTTGCTAAAGACAAGAAATATTGTTAGGGAGGTACATGCACAGATGCACTTGGGTTTTTGTCTCTCTGCCAGCTACAAAGGAGTTAGTGCCCACTGACTGCTTAGATTCAATACCACCTACTTTTTTTTGTCACTTGCTTCAGAATCAGAGAATAAGTGGGAGTCCTGTTAGTGCCTCCCTCCCCTGGGTCACCAGAGAGGAAGCAGCTGGGTCAAGGCCACCTCCCCCAACCCCAAAATAGTTCCTCTGGCTGTGGCAGACACTTCCTTTTCCAGGCTGCAGAGAGCATTCAGCTTCTGCAGCCACATCCAGGGGCTTTCACAGGTTTCTGTGTCCAGCAGGAACTGCCTGCAAAGAAGAGCCCCTGTGAAAACGGAGTGAAAGGACAGCCTTGCCCCGACTCATCCTACGACTCTTGGAAAGGAAAAGACAGGCAGTTTGAGCACAGGTTCCCACCCCAGGCTGGCAGAGGTAAAGCAGCAAGGTTACCGTAGGATATCCTCCTTTCCTGCGGTGTCTGCAGAAGGAGAAGCGCTCCCCCAGTAGCGAGCCACGGCTGCTGCCTCTCTGGCCATCAGATGAGTAGATTTTGACTTTCTGTTGGAAATAAAAGGGCCCTTTCTAAGTGGGGTTCAGGGACCTGGTCTGGCTAACGCATTCTCAGCTTTTGAAGCTTTGGGCACAGAAGCATTGACCAGCCCTGAGCAGAGAGCCACAGAGCAGCTTCCCAGTGCTCACCACACCCATTAATGCTGCTCCCACGGCAAGCCCAGCTTGGCCTTTATTGAGCCAATCATTTTTCTGGTGCTGACTTACCCTCTTGCCCTTTACCTGTTAGCCTGATCCCACTCTTTGTTAAGCTCTAAATTGCTGATGTTCCTTGTTTTCTGCCCAGCAATTTCATCACGTTCAATCTTGACAAAATCTGAAGGGAAGGAAAGGCATAAGAGTGTTTTGGCAGCTTCAGAGTCTGCCCAAGTTTTGTGTGTTACCACTTGCATTAAGGCATCTCTCTTTGTCCATCAGAATGATGCACAGCTTCAAACTGTTGTTGCTGTTATGTTTTCAACTGCCCACAAATACATGTAGTTCTTGTTGATATAGGAAGAAATATGTATCTTGAAATACAAAGGTTTGTGATCCTTTAGCTAAGGAACTGCTCCTTCAGAGCCTCACTCATCACCTTCTCATATAGCCACCACGAGTGGAAGTTAGATATCCCAATTCAATGAAACCAGTATTAGTGACAGACAGGGGGCTCTCTCAGTCTGCCAAATTTACTTGAATGATGAAAAAAGATACCCAAATCGAATTGTTCTGTCTCTCTGAAAGAGTACAGGTATCCTCCTGAGAACTAACAATACTCACAGCTCTTTTCAGTCAGCATCAAAGGGACTTGCCTCTTTGGGACTATAAGCACTGCAGGGGTAATTTTCACCTCCTTGACAGTTATCAGAAATCTTTCCAGGTGAATACTCTCTAGGGTGAGCATTGCAGAGATGATGACATTCCTTACCATACAGCTTCTCTCTCTGTTTCCCTTGTGATGTTTGCAACTTGATTTCACCTTGGAAGACTCCTGTTTTCTCTCCATGGTGTGTCAGCACAGTGTGGATAGGAGCTAAGGATTCTGTTGCTTCTATTCTCAGGGCAATGCAGCCTTCCCCTAAAAGACAACAAGGAGACAATGAGCCTGAGATTGAGAAAAAAAGCACTGAAATCTCTTGTGTCATCTACTATCACTGTGCTGCAATTACTGGAGAGAACCTGCTTTGGATCACAGCAAGGAGTGTATTATCTCCTGAGAAATCAGGGGCATTCATTTAACTTCAAATATGTGTGAAAGATTTGGGCACTGGAGATACCTGTGGGTGACTGCAGTGTTCTGAGCTTCCATTCCTGGTAAGGAAAACACGAGCCTGTGGCTGCTATTTCAGTTAATGGGATTTCAGCAAAGAGCCTTCTGTGGACAAGGACTGCAGTCTCTGGCTGCTGAGAATTTGGAAGCCAGCAGCACTGCCAAATCCTTTTCTGTAGCCAGGAGAAATGCCTCAGGTAAGTGCAAGTGAAACAGGATTTGAATATTCTGAATAAACCCATTTAACCAGACTGACTCCTGATTTAATTCCTGTACTTTCTTTTTAAGCCACTGCTCTTTTAGAGCTGGTAAAGCTTGCACAGGTTGTTGCTTCATATTTCTCTAATCATAATTACCTCACAAACTATTGTCCACAGTGTATTTTTGTGTACGTTGAGTTCTAAGTCAGAAGTCAGAGTATCATAGATGTTCTGTAAGAGTTACTTCTGTTCTCTCCCACTCTTTCAGTGGTTTGGAAGAATCTAAGTAGATTTTGACTCATCCAGAACTTCAGAGCTAAGCACTTACCATAAGATTCATCACTGTCTGATGACTTAATGCTGATCAGGATGTGTTGATCCAGTAGGTATTCCGGGTCTGAAATAATTGGGGTCAGCTGCAAAGACAAGTTAAGGTGGGTCAATACAATAGATGGGCTACAGGAGCACAGTTCTCCCCGTGCCTCAGTCCCAAATGAGGACAAAGCTGCTGGATAAACCCTTGAGGACATCATGTCAACTCCAGGATCAGCCTCTTTGCTGGTGTTTGGACATCTGTAGGAGAAGGCTGCATACTCTTGCTCCCAGCACAGCAGATGGGATGCTGCAAATCTAACACTCATGGGATGAACTGCAGTTTTCTCATGCAGTGCAGGCCTGAAAATTGCTCAGGGAAGAAGGGATCTGGACTCTGATTACAGTCTGTTCCCAAAAATCTCTTTGGCTGTTGTTACAATCACTTATTGTAGAGCCTTTCCCTAAGTTCTCAGTGTAATGCACTCTTTCCAAAATCAGCACATTTTCTTTTGGGGCTATTTAGAAGGGTACTGACAGGAACATTTGCTCCAAATCCAGGAGCTCCTGTAGTTCTTCCAGTTCCCACCATGCCAAGAAATGGAGACTAGCTCTGATCTCAAGGACAGGACTTGTGTCTGACACTGACACACAGAACACTGCTTCTGGCCATCGATGCTCTTTTTAACATAGGTAAAAAATACATAATCAACTCTTCTAAAAAATACCAAGAGAAAACTTTGTCTGACCAGGCAAAAAACTCCAGAGCTATCCTTTAAGATGTTTTATTTTCCATCTAAAACTAAAAAAAAAGGGGCCTACTTAAAACACTTGTCAGCATAGTTACATCCAATAAACAGGTGAGAAAAAAGTCATGTTCCTGAATGGCATAATCATGCCAGCAAAATTCCTGATAGAGATGTAAGTCCTTTCCTGCTTATAACATGCTCTGTTTAGCTTAAGCCCATTCTGCATTCTTACAGTCTCTTTGAGTCTAAACAAGACCACAACCATATTCCTGCACAAAATGTTTATATATGTGTTGCTTATGGGATGAAGGTGGAAGGCTTCTCTTCCATATGGATATGGAAGCACAGTCCCAGTCTACCTTTGGAAGTGCATCGACGAACTTTACCACGAGCTCCCCTTCATTCCCATCCTCATTTTCTCCTTCCTGGCTCTTTACAAAACCTGCAAAGGCACAAGAAAGGGGTTTACCAGAAGAGAGACAGCAAGAATGGGGCTACAAATCCTTTTCACATGCCACGCTCCAAAAGGCCTGCAGTTATTTTCCCACTTGGACACAGATTTTAAAATTATTAAGAAGCTTAAAGCCTTAGCTTCGGGTGAATGTTTACACAGTAAATTTACAAGTGATTTTACTGGAGCATTGTTAAATGGTTTAATTTTACAGTTAAACTTGGCACTGAACAGCTCAGTGCATACATGGACTGGAGGATAAGAACATGACAGGTCTTCCTACGCCACTCAAGATAGCACACTTTTGAAATTCTAATTTAAGATTCGTAATACACTGTTTCCATAGAAATTTATGCAAATTTTGATACAGCCAAAAAATAATCTTTTATGGAACTGTCTCTTCCACCGCGCTCTGACACGCGATAATGTGATGAAGCAAACACCACAGCACACTGTCCCACTTACAGAAGCAGCCCTGGGATGGGGGTTTAAAAAACCCCAGCAAGGGCAGGGAGGCTCGTGTTACATAAACAGCTGAGACTCAGCCCCGCAGCACAGGGCCAGGGAGGGAAACCTGCAGCACTGGGAGGACACAGTCCCACTTACACAGTCAAATCACTTGCCTTCCTTTCACTTTTAGCTGATGCTCTGACTTATTCTTTGTTAAACCAGGGTAATTCAATTATTTAAAATTATCTTTATTAGCATAATGCAGGTGCATTATTTTGGAAGCACCTGATTTTGCAGCAGGCACAATCAGACATTTAATCAATCATGTTTTCTAAGTAGAGATTTTCTATGTGATGAGCAAGAACAGCACGTGTCTCTCTTCAAGAAGGAAATAATCAGATTGCCAAAGAAGATGGAAGAATTGGTGAAAGGCAATTGGATTACAGCTCCCTTGGCTGTGGGGTTTGGATTGTATGGCTGACAGTATGGGCTGACTTGTAAACTACAACAAATCCTTAGGACATCCCTTTTTTGCACTGGAACAAGTGATCCACACAGCTATTTCTTTAGATCAAAGCAAGAAGAAGGGGAACTAATCCAAACAAGCAGAAAACTTTGACAGAAGTAATAAGGATGGGCAAAGCCATACTTTCTAAGCAGCTAGAATGAAACTCAATGTAGAACTTGGTCTGGGACTTGGTCTTCAGAGTGGCGCAGCAGTGCAGGAACTCTATCTCCCCTTGGGAATCTGTGTACTTGGAGTCTAGGAAAGAGGAAGGACATAAAGAGAGGGCATTTTAAAGTGGACTCTTTAAGACTCATCTTTTTCTTTCTGCATATACAAAGCACTACATTTTGTATCCCAAGGTGAAGATGGCACACTGGCACCCAACCTGACTGACCGTTCTTGGAGACAAACTGTGAGGTAACTCCCACTTCAAAGGTGGCAAAGACAGGACTGTGGTCACTGGTCATGATGTCAGTGGTGCAGCCTGCCAGCGAGAAAGGGAGGATAGTTACTGCCCTGCTCCAGGGAGATCTCTGCCACAGAAATACTGGGTGGGAATCTTCCAGAAAACCTCACAGTCACTGTGGTAACTGTCTCTAGTCAAAGGTATTTCTTTACATAATCCCATGTCAGTATGCAGGAAGGTAACTCTTCTGTCAGAACACAGAAAGATTTGATTAATGGACCCAATTTTACCATATCATTTTGCAAGCGACTGTCAGTGGTGGATTTCCCCAGCACAAAAATCCTTTGCAGGCTTCCTGGTTGCCTCTGCAACAGGCACAGCTAATTAAAGCTCTAATGTGGCAGGAAATTACACAAGAATACGCTGGTGCTACTTCAGTGCTACAGAGCAACTCCTGGCCTAAGTTAACAGTGAGTGAGCAGGGCCTGATTTGCCCTAAGGACACACTGAGATCCAGCAAGCCCAGTCTTTCTACAGGTGCATATTTGACTACACACCCCAGCATCATGGCTCGGTGATCAGATCAGTCCACCTGATCCCCTGAGAGAGCCCTCTTCTCAATCCCATGAATAGGAAACCATCAACATCATACTCAGATGCTCAGTCCTACATATAGCCACTGACATTTCAGCAACTGGTATCTGAGTCTTTTTTTAAACAGGTCTTGTGGGCTTTCTCTCTTCCCTGCACTGCACTTCTGTGATGCTTCTCAGCAGGAAAGGGAACAGGCTCTTGGTACCACACAGTCCTTCTGGCATATGATTTGATAGAGGAAAGAGGTTTGCAGCTCCAGCCTCTGCAGACTGGACTGTGCACACAGGGTCTGCCCTGCTGGCACCACCAAGTGAGGAGTTCCTGGTGGTAACTGCACAGGAAAAGTGGTGGTTGTTGCCAGGAAATATTTGGTGTAAAGTGATCCTACAGCATGGCCTAGAGCTGGACAGCTGCAGCTGTTCAAGTGGTGTTCTGCACGTAAAAGAATAACAGAATTAATTCTCAACACTGGAAGGTTACAGGCAGAGAGATTTGGCTCTCCACTGCCTGGTTTAACATCAGGTCCCTCTATGCTGAGTGCCTGGCAGTGCAGGGAGATCCTGCAGACTCTGCTCTGAATCATTTCCGTTTCAGACTGATTGCCTTGCTATCTGCAATCTGTTATCTACCCACCATAGGACTGACACACAACGTGCACCATGGGGTAGGATTTCCAGAGCACTCGATCACACCAGGATGGCAAATTGTACTTCATCTGCAAAAAAACCGAAATGATGTCAAGAAGAAGGGAAAGGACTAGTTCACAAAAGGACAGGAAATTCGCTCCCCCAAGCACCATATATTTGTGTCGAGTCTGTTTGTTTGTATTGACTCCTTTCGAAACGTTACAAGGGCAGGAAATGCAGAGATTGGTTTAGGAAATTTTCTTCTGTAGGAGGTACTTTCCCTGCTCTGCCACGTACCTCAGAAGGGAACTCAGGTTTCACCTACCCCTGTAGCCTTTTGCTTGGTGTAAGCGTACTTCTCCCGGCTGCCTCTCTCAAAGCGGTAGGTTGGAGCAAATGTGATTTCTTCTTCCTCTGGAACAGGGAGAGCTCTGTCACAGCCTGGCCCATGGGCAACCCTCCTCTGGGCAGGACAGCCACTGCCCCCATGCACCCACCCCACAGCGGGGCTGGCAGAGAGAGTTGGTGGGAGTGGGAGAGAACCTGCCAGCAAAGCCAAAACCTCACCGAACTGCAGGAACACCTTTTGGTCTTTCCTCTCAAGGAGAAGCTGGTCGAAAGCCAGCAGCTCCGGATACTGCTGCTGCCTGATCTTCTGGATAATATTCTCTGCTTCCTGCCAACAGGGAAACAGCAGAGCTGCAGATGATGCAAAACCTTCTTATAAATACTCCCTTCTCTGGTGAACTGGCAAATGCTCTTGAACTGTTTCACAGAGCTGTACCCCTGCCACTTCCCCACCTTTCCCTTCACGGAGAGGCCTCACTCTTTGCTGCATGGATGAACATTTGTCTATCAAAACAGGCATCAAAATGCCCACACATCCCCTGCATAAGCACACACACAGCCACATGCACATCAACACCAGGCTTGCTG